GGCGCGGTACTCACGTGAGTCATGGGCTGAAATGTCAACTGGTTGCGATTGCGATGTCGCTGCTTGCTGCTGTTGCATCAAGGTAGCAGCCATCTGGCGTTGTAGTTCTGCCGTCTGGGCCATGAACTGCTGCTGCTCTCTCATCATAGCGTTAATGGACGCAAAGAGCTGCTGCGCGGACTCAGCATGCATCGTAGGCTCGTCCATGAAGGTCTCGTTCGCCTACGCGTAAACGTCGTTCACTAGATGCAAGGGGCGCGCAGTTCCCACAGGCAAATCAATCACAAAAGGAAGCTCTTTACCCGAAGACTCAAAGCTGTAAGCCCCAACGAAGTCACAGAGGGTACAGGTGCTCCACCGGGAGCTCTGTTTCCGTCAATTCCTGAGAGGGAACCCTTGCCACTGTCAGTTCCCCGAAGGAAGCAACTGGTGCAATTCCGACCGACGCTAGCTCGAGCCCGCCTCGGTAGCCCTAAACACTCCTACTACAACGCCCGGAACGGCCCCGGCGCAGATGTTACACTCGGCTGCACACTAGCAAGTTGGCAAGTGCGCTGTGGAAGTGGTCGTGCGTGGGTGGTGACGTAGACGTGCGCTGGACACGTGTCTGCGTGGCAATGGACGATTGGATGGAATTGACCAATTAGGTGTCGACACGAATATGTGTGCGACAAATGGGTTCTCTCTCCCCCAACGAAGAAAGCTGGCGGCGACGACTCGATGGTGCAGACAGGAACAGACGAAACACGCACGTGAAGCGGTCTCCAGAAGCAAGAGGACGGGTCGAAGAAAGCCACGGACGCGTTCGATTTGAACGAAGGAAAAACTTGAGCGCTCGAGGTGAGCCGAAGGTAGCTAGAGCGTGCACGCCGGCGACGCAAGTAAAAAGCAGAAACTGGAACAGAGGTGTGAACTTGGAGGGGTCGGCAGAGAGAAGAGCGCGCTGGATCGAGGAAGTGCTACCAAATGTAAGTTTCTTGCGTAGAGTTGCTGTGGCTTGCGTTGTTTGAGGTAAAAACCAGAATGATCAATTAAATGCTAATCTCTTTTCTGCTGTACTGAGCTCTACCTCGAGGCACTCTATGGTGCGCTGGTCTGGATATGCAGGTGGTTGGCTGTGGTGCGGCGGAGGGACCTCATTGCGCAAAACCCGTAGGTATGCAAGCCGGCTGTGGCGTCGTGCTGGGCCTGACTAATCGGTTGTTGTCATTGTGTGCTGCTGATCATTACAATACGCCTCAGGGCATGCGCCTGTGATCTCCATTGGCCAGGTCCAGCAGCCGACGCGACCACAGCTTGAACTCGTTGAACGACGGGCCGTAATCGGCGACATCCTCCCACGATAAATGTTCCAGTTGTTTACGGCTAGGATCCAATGAATGTTATTATTGGCAGTGATTCGAACAGAGGAAGAGCGAATCGAATTTTGTCAGCAAAAACATGTTGCTATTGCTCCAGTAAAATAACTAATTATCGGCTATTAAAGTCGAGTACGTTGAAATCGATTAATAAAGCATTCCAAAACGTTTTTAGACATGTCCATGGATAATAACGTTTAAAATCGTTTAGCAATGTTGCCGTGCTTGGCTCGTCAATGTGCAAAGTGTCTGTGC